TCCGGGTTTTGTGGGGATGGGGGGTCAAGGGTCAAAGGATTAGGGCAGGCAGGATTTGGGGTCCCCCCCCCCCCCCCCTCCCCCCCTCGGTGTTTGCCATCGGGATTGGGTTTTCGTCGCTTGGCAACGACGTTGTAAAACAAGCCAATTCACTTCGTGAACTCGGCAACCAGGTTACCTTTTTTTTTTTTTACCTCGTTTTTTTTTTTGGCGGTAACCATAATGGTGGTCGAGTAGATCATGTTGTGCGGGGTGGAGAACCCTCACTCCGCGCAACGGGGGATGATCGCACCACGTTGTGTTAAAATGGTCAAGCATCCTCGAGGCAGTTACACAGTGCTTACAACTGTCTCTGGAAGTGAAAGCACCAGAAAATAAATCAAGTCATACGTAGCTGTCATCCGTAGGCAAGGAAGTAAGCACAAGATGCCGAACACCCTTAGCAGGATGCAGCTCACCCTTCATGCGACTCGCCGAATACCTCACGGCGCTTCGCGCTTGGTGATGTGAGAGCCTGGTCCGGTGAGAACCCAGCGTGCTCCGTCCCGGCTTTGTAGGGATGCGAGGTCAATGGTCTAACGACTACGGCATGCACGACTATGAGTACCCCCCCCTCCCCCCCTCTCTCTCCTCCTCCTCTGGCAGCACTGCTCGCCAGACTTGCCGGTGATCATGCCACTGGGGCCGCAGATCCTCGCCACGTTCTCCTTCTCGACCGAGCGGTCGACCATGCACAAGGACATGCTGGTGCTGGTGTCTCTGGCTCTGGGGTTGTCGGTGTCGAGCTTGCTGGTCTTCTTCCTGGCCACGAGGTGGGGTTGCCGACGACGAGACGTTGGTTGCTAGGGAAGGATTTCTCTGTTTTTCATGCTTTTCGGGTTGTTTCTTGGCTCTTTTCCCCTGCTGCTGCTGCTGCTGCTGGAGCAGGAAGGCTCGTCTTCGCTCTTTTCCCCTGCTGCTGCTGCTGGAGCAGGAAGACTTGTCTCTCCTGTGTTGTTTTATCTGCCGCGAGAGATACTGTACGGGATATTTTCTTCTTGGAGCTGCCCCTCCACACAGTTCGTATGTCTCGATGGAAGTTTTCGCTCTTTGCGCCAAGGCAAACATACGACTCCCTCGTCTTGCAGTCTCTGTGTTTTGCTCCGATGCGTGACACGTTTTTTTGTTGAAAAAATTCTTCGGGCGGTGACTTCTCCGGTGCTTCCCATGCTCCGTTTGTCTGCGTACAAGCCGTCGCCCATGCACACCATGCAAACCGTCCTTCGTGCAACGGCGA